TAAAAGTGTAACACTTAAACACAGTTGCAGCCAAGGTTGGCCTGCAGCATCTGCCTGCTTAGCTTCTTAATGTTTTGCAAGATACAATAGTTAGCAAACAGCGAAACAAGAACTGTAATTCAGTCAGCTTGATCAAACAGCAATATGCACAACTGCCTTCTGCAGGACCAGCGTTGACTGCTTTCAACCCTGGAGAAAAATATGTATATTTCCTGGAAGAGAAAGGGGCCTTTGCACATCTACAGCAACTCTATGGGTAAATTGTTAAGTTTTTCTTGCAGTCAGTCAGGATGGAATTTCAAATGTGAATTACTTTCCTATACCTCATTCTAATGAATATTTTAGAACAAATGTATAAGGAACGGCACTAATTCAGTACAATTATATTAATTAGTCCGATCTTTTTATTACTGGGTTGACATACATTTGATCATATGCCTTTCCTTGGTTGTCACAAATAAAAGACATGTATCAAAATACTGGAGGACTAGATTTGCTTCGTTTGAAAGATCGGAAATGTCACTGAAGACTTACATCCTCAGAGCCCAAATTCACGAGCAATGAACTACACAAAATGAAGGCGTCCCTCCCTCATATTTTGAAAACCTCAAGCTAAGACATCCATGCACGGCCCAGGTCTTAACATAAACTACTAGATCTTCCTAGAATGCCTGTGTTGTAGTCTTGTGTTACATCATCATCATCATCATCATCATCATCATCATTATTATTATTATTATTATTAGTTAATCTTTAGTGAGATTCACAGCCTTTGAGGCTGGTTAATAGCTCAGCAGCTTGAGTCCTAACCAAGGACCTAGGAACTGTTAAAGTATCGTCGGAGGATGTAAGCTGTTCTGAGTAAGGTGGTTTTTTGTAGAGTCAAAATGTTCTAGTCTGGTAAATTTAGAATTTCTAAATAGCGGGGTAGCCCTTTGGGTATTGCTCCAAGGGCTCCAAGGGCTCCAATTACAATCGGGACAACACACGAATTTCTTTTTCCACAGTCGCTCAACTTCAATTTGCAAATCCTGGTACTTTGTGATTTTTTCTTGCTGCTTATCTTCAATCCGTGCATCACCAGGTATTGCAATGTCAATGAACCATACTTTTTTCTTTTCAAGAAAAAGAAGGTGTCAGGTGTCAGGTGTGTTGTGGACCAAGTGCCTGTCAGTCTGAATCCTAAAGTCCCACAAGATCTTGAGTTTCTCATTATATTATTATTATTATTATTATTATTATTATTATTATTATTATTATTATTATTAATCACTCAGTTAGCCAGATGTTCAGACTGGATCTGGTATTTGTCTTTCCAAAGAACCTGACAGATGTTGGCGTTTGTTAAAGGTATCTTCACAGGATGTAAGCTGTTCCATGTAAAGCTGCCTTTAACAATTGATTGATGGTGATTTTGTCAATGATGATTATATTCAAGAAGTGCTCCAGTTGCTTGGGATTGCACCTATTGCTATCAGTATTGCCTCTTTGCCTCTTAACATTTATATGCAGCATGACTCCCAGTAACTCCATGCATTTGTGATGCTTTTCATGATTGATCTAGGCAGGCTTTTTTTCTCTCTTTTCTGATAATGGACAGGCCTTATAGTTGAGGGACCCACTTTTGATACCAGAACAGCTCTCCAACATTCATCTCAAAGGGCAACCAATGACCTAAGGCTCCTTGTGAGATTACCTGGCAGTGAGCCACCTGTATTCATTACAGGTGCTATAGATAAAAGCCAGAATTGGCCACCAGAACTGTGTAAACCAATGAATTGTGAGGGCAAAACACAAGGGCCAAGAATAATTTGTAGAAAAAGGCAGAGCTTCTGGTTTTGTTGTTGTTGTTGGCCATCAGTTGCCAAAAAAAAAAAAACCCCACTAGTGGCCATGTGTCCCATAAACCTTCTGTCTTGTGCCCCCCAGATAGTTTGAGACCAGAAGCCCCATAATTCTCATCCTGTGTAAAAATTCCCTTTGTGCTTCCCAAAATCCATCAGATAGATTGCAAAGAAGACGTGGTGATTATTAAAATGTTTCTTGGAACCTGGGGAGAAGAGGCGGCCATATTCCGGTCTCATATCGCTTCCAAAACTGACACCAGCTTCTAAAGTTCCTCTGAGGTCTTAAAGTGAGATACAGGGGGGTCACTCTTTTGTGGCAGAGGCTGGCAGAGCTGGAAATGAAGCCGTCACCTCCTATCCCTCCTGGTCCATTGCCTCATTCCTCCCAACAGCAGTATACACCCTATGGCGTCCTTTGTCAGTCTTTCTTGTGTCCCCGGTGATTAACCTTTTCCCACGATCATATCTTACCGATATAGAAACTCTGGTGACTAGTCTTCTCCCACGATCGTATCCCTCCCAGTAATCTATTTTCTCACTGCTGTTTATAAAAAAGCCTTTGGTAAGCTTGTTTGCAAGATCCTATTTTACACAGAAATGTTCCGCTTTCTCTTTCGAACTGTCCTGCTGATTGAGAGCTACGATGTTATAGTCTGAAGAAACCAATCGCAGCCACTAGGTGGCGGTTACTTTACGATCAGAGCACCAGCACCCTGAATATACGTCTGGGCTTCTGGTTTCTTCCGTTTAGACCATTAGGGGGCAGTAAAGCTGCCTGGGCTTCACAGTTCTCCTTCCTTGCGATCGCTCAGCTTACCTCCTTTTTGCCAGCTCTCAGAAAAGGCTTATGGAGGGAATGTGTCAGATCTGTCCTCTTCAGCTTAGCACTTTGCTGGCATCCTGCCATAAATTGTTAGGGGAAGAGAGAGAGAGAGTCCTGAGGGAAACCAGAAGTGTGAGAACCACTCGATTCCAGCCTTCAAGGCCAGCGAGCCTAGGAAAGGAATGTGAATTGCACCAAGCAACACCAAACATCCGAGCGGTTCCCAAAACACCTACACGGAATGTCATTGGACAAAGACACACCGGTCAAGGGGGGGAGGGATGGGGAGAAGGGGAAAACGTTGCAACGTTTTGTATGGGAACTTTAGTTCTAGCCTTGCTTTGTTTACAACCATTAATCCTTAGTGAAAGAACATATAGAATTTATATGTTCAATCCAATGGAGTTGAGGGTCTTTCTTTTCTAGGGATCTAGCTGGGTCAAGCCTGACAGAATGACTGTCCGTAAATTGGACAACAGATGTGCCAGGTGTTTGGCGTGTTTATCAGGGGCCACCTCAAAAGACAACATTCTTTGTTTCAGATGATGCATGGACTCTGATTTGAGAAAGAGATCAGCCTTCCCTGCAGATCATTTTTCACAGCTCTGGCACTGTCAGTTATTGAGCAAGGCTCGTATTTCCAAGCCTGCAAGCACGTTTATGACAGGAAAATCTCACAGAAATCCTGCACCAGCAAAACTGTCATACTGTATTTGATGTGTTAGGAATCTTATAAAAAGTCTCCACTAAAATGCGCATATATTTTGGTGCACTAGTCTCCAAATATACAACGCACATAACTTTGCTCTCATATGCACTTTTGACATTATTTTTTCTAATAGAACCCAAATGCATACATTGTTTTCCTGAATAATACACTTTTCTAAATAGAAACAGAAACAATCAATGTGCTCTTAATAGTCTCAAATTAGAGGTGGGTTTCAGCAGGTTCTGACCAGTTCTAGAGAACCGGAAGCAGAAATTTTGAGTAGTTTGGAGAACCGGTAGCAAAAATTCTGACTGGCCCCACCACCATCTATTCTCTGCCTCCCAAGTCCCAGCTGATCGGGAGGAAAAGGGGATTTTGCAGTATACTTCCCCTGCCATGCCCACCAAGCCATGCCATGCCCACCAAGCCACACCCACAGAACCGGTAGTAAAAAATTTTGAAACCCACCACTGAACTAGTACTGTATATGTTAAAGGCTTCAAGGATTTGATACGCTTTTGACTGAAAAACCTATTTGATTTCTTCTTTGAAAAAAGAATGTATTGTGGGTGTATTTTTGAGTTTCTCCGTAAAATAGTTGTAGATAATGAATGGAAGACAAATCTGAAGTGAAGAAAAATCACATACAGCAAAGGGTTTCTGCCTATAGAGCTACAGGAGATGGCGCTATACAAGAATATAATATACAATTTGCTATCTGTCTCTAAAGTCACAATGTTCTATAGTTACAATGGCAGACTCAGTTACAATGTCCTGGGGTCATGTGTAGGGGTGGGATTGAAAAATTTTAGCAACCGTTTCTCTGCCCGGTTGCTGGGTGGGCATGGCCATGGGGGCATGGCCTAGACGGCTTCCTGCATCACAGTCGGGGGAGTGTTTTCACCCTCCCCAGGCTCTAGAGGCTTTCCTTGAGCCTTCAGGAGGGCAAAAACGGTCTCCCCCGTGCTCCAGAGGCCGGAAATGGGCCCAGATTTCTGGTACTTCCAGTAGGCCTGTTTTTCACCCTCCCAGAACCTCTGCGTGGGTCCTGCACTTATCTGGAATCCAAAACAGGCTGCGTGGAGACTCCTGGGAGGGGAGGGGCAAGGTTGGCGGAGTCAGCCAGTCCTTACAACTACCGGTTTGGCGAACCAGATTAAAATTAACATCCGGTTCGCCCGAACTGGTCTGAACCGGTTGAATCCCACCCCTAGTTACATGATCTGCTTTTGTGACATTCTGACAACAAAGTCAATGAAGAAGCAAGGCTCACTTAACAACCATGTTGCTAACTTAACAACTGGGGTGATTTACTCAACCTATTGTGGCAAGAAAGATTGTAAAATGGGCTAAAACTCAATTTAGCAACTGCTTAGAAACAGATGTTTTGGGCTCAGTTGTAGTCATAAATCAAGGACCCCCTGCGTTAACATTCTGGAAAATATCCTTGAATTTACCCAACGTGACCTACCATCAAAACTGTATGTTCTGACTTTGAGATTGTAAAGTGCCAACTTGCATTGTGAACTGCAGGTGAATAAACTTGGTTTTTTTAAAAAAAAGTTTGGGGCTTAAATAAACCACAAAGGTTGTTTACACGGCTTATATGACTTGAGGCCATGAAATAGCTTTGTTTACTTTGAGTTCTCTGGTATCTGCTAGGAAGACATACCTCACCAGTTATCTTGAAGCTCTTTCTCTCCTTTCCACGCTCATCAGAAGCTCAAAGAAGCTTCTGTCACCTGGCTATGGAAGTCTTCATTCTGCTAGTCCTCAGCATTGGACTTTGCCAAGCCGGTCTTGTCCAAGATGAAGTGAGCTGTGATGACCCAGAAGTTTTTGAAGCTGTGGCTAGAGCAATAAAAGAACTTAATGAAGAGAGAACTCAAGGAAATAAATTTGCTCTCAATGTCGTCCTTCATGCCCACAGAATAGTAAGTAAATTTGGTAACGACCAGAACTTCAAAAAAGCTAATTAACGGGAATTTTGTAGTTGGGGACTTGCACAAGAGTGCGCCATTGTATGACGTTGAACTGTAGTCATCTGAGAGTTTTCCTCAGATTTAATGTTTAATTTAACAGAAAGAAAGAAAAATCATTACATGCGTGGAAAGGAGTCATCTTTACAATGTTTCATTTGTTCGATTTTGGGTTTTTTGAAATCCCATTCCCCCCACCCTAAAAAAATTGCCCCTTTCTGCTTGAATGAGCATTTTAATGACACAAAGCGGACCCTTCCTCAAATAATCTAAAGCTACTATAATTCAGCTTGTTGTAATTCCAGAAGCTCTCAGGGGCTTTGCATTCCAATCAATTATTTTATTTACAAGAACTTTGTTTCGGGAAGGGGGAAATTCTTCCAATTCTTCAAACAACTTTCAGAGGTATGGTGCTACTTTCAAGTACATTGGGTGGGGAATTATTGAAGCTGTAGTCTCACATTTTTGGAGAGCAACCTTCCCAATTCTGCTGCTTTGTCATACAAAACAAGAGCCTTGGTAGTACAGTGGTCTAAGGCACCCTGTTATTAAGTTGGTTATTAAGACCAACTGCCTGCAATTACTGCAGGTTCGAATCTCGCCAAGGCTCAAGGTTGACTCAGCCTTCCATCCTTTCTAAGGTAGGTAAATTGAGGACCCAGTTGTGGGGGCAATAAGCTGACTTTGTATAAATATACAAAAGGATGAAGGCTATTGCTGAGCGCATTGTAAGCCGCCCTGAGTCTCCGGAGAAGGGCGGCATATAAATCAAATTTAAAAAAAAAAAAAAACATAATAGGATGCAACCATTTGGCAGTTTCCATTTAACATTGTCTAACTTGGATTTCCATAAATATGAATTTTGGCAATGCTAACATTGACCCCTGTTTCTGCACTATTATTTTTTATTATTATTTATTAGATTTCTATACTGCCCTTCTCCCGGAGGACTCAAGGCGGTGTACAGCCATATTAAAACACATAGATTTACAAAATTTAAAACCAATTAAAATCGAATATATAAAAATTTGGCCCACAAATTAAAACACACATACACCCATTGTAAAATTCGTATTAGGCCAGCCTGGCTTGCTGGAACAGAAGGTCTTCAAGGTGCGGCGAAAGGTACACAGATAGGGGCTAAGACGGACTTCTAAGGGCAGCTCATTCCAGAGGGCTGGTGCCCCCACAGACAAGGCTCTCCCCCTGGGTGTCGCCAGTCGGCACTGTTTGGCCGACAGTACCCTGAGGAGCCCCTCTCTGTGGGAGCGTATTGGCTGGTGGGAGGCTGTTGGTGGCAGAAGGTGGTCTCGTAAATACCCCGGTCCTAAGCCATGGAGCGCTTTAAAAGTGGTGACCAACACCTTGAATCGCACCCGGAAGACCACTTAAAGGAGATGTTAGCAGAGGATCAGGAAAAATCAGCCAGTTTAAATCTAGATGCAACTGGATGATTTATCTAAAGTAAGGTAAACTCTCCAAATCAGGTCCTGATGTCTTTTCACGTCAATATGAAGATACAGGTAGTCCTTGACTTACGACCACAATTGAGCCCAACATTTCTGTTGTTAAGCAAGACATTTGTTAAGTGAGTTGTGCCCAATTTATGACCTATCTTGCCACTGTTGCTAAGTGAATCACTGCAGTTGATAAGTTAGTAACCTGAGTGTTAAGTGAATCTGGCTTCCCCATTGACTTGGCTTGTCAAAAGGTCACAAAAGGGGATCACATGACCCCGGAAACTGCAACTATCATAAATATAAGTCAGTTGCCAAGCATCCAACTTTTGATCACGTGACCATGGGGATGCTGCAAAGGTTGTAACTGTGAAAAATGGTCATATTTTTCAATACCGTTGTAATTTGAACAGTCACTAAATGACAGTCACTTACAAGTCAAGGACTACCTGTAGTTTATTGTTGCCTTTTTTCAGATTTTTTTCGGGGTGGAAGAATGCTCCAATCTAAAAAAAACATCCTTCATAACTCTTAATTCTCTTCCATCCAAATTTTAACTAAGGTCACTTCAGGAAATCTGTCACAATCAAATATCTCTTTGGTTTATTCTTTCATATAGATTTTGTCGTCTTCTTTTTTGCATTAGGAGTTTGTTTGCATCCACGTATTATTATTAATAGACTATAATACACTGCCAAGGCTCACTTGGAAGAGTCTGGCAGGCATAAATTGGGAGTTGGACTTGAAGGAATTGTATTTTTTAAAATATTTTTTTGTGCCTTTATTATTTTTTATAAATAACTCAAGGCAGCGAACATACCTCCCTATTTCTGTGAGATGGGCTGTTCTGAAATATGATAAAAAGGTATAGATAGATATAGATATAGATATAGATATATAGATATATAGATACAGATATAGATATAGATTACAAACTATTATAAAAATACGAGGTTCCAGGTATATTAATAAAGAAAGAAGCAGACATTCTGCGAGCTCCAGAACTTAAAATTTTAAAATAATAAAAAAAATTATTCTACTAAACTTTTGTCAGCCATCTGCTGACATCGTCAGAGTATTAAACTACCATTACAGAGATCTCTGCCTTTATATACCATTAATCAATTTGGGCATTGCGTGTGTAATAGGCCCTTCCAGCCATCTCCCACTTGTAATTAGCTGTGTTGTTTTTGCTGTCGTCATGCTGGATGATGGAGGCTTAATTCTAGATATATAGATCTAGATCTAGATAGATCTAGATATGGATCTGGATATGGATCTGGATATATGGAAATGGAGATAGATGATAGATAGATAGATAGATAGATAGATAGATAGATAGATAGATAGATAGATATAGATAAATAGATATAGATAAATAGAAAAATAAAATAAAATAAAATAAAATAAAATAAATAAAATAAAATAAAATAAAATAAAATAAAATAAAATAAAATAAAATAAAATAAAATAAATAAAATAATAAAATAAAATAAAATAAAATAAAATAAAATAAAATATTCTTTCCACCTCTTATTTTCCCCACAATAACAACCCTGTGAGGTGGATTGGGTGTAGAGAGAGTATGACTGGCCCAAAGTCACCCAGTTGGTTTTTATGTCTAAGGTGGAACTAGAATTCACAGTCTCCTGGCTTCTAGCCTGGTGCCTTAACCCCTAGATCAGGGGTGGGCAAATGTGGCTCTTTTACAACCTGTGGACTTCAACTCCCAGAATTCCTGAGCCAGTTTGGCTGACTCAGGAATTCTGGGAGTTGAAGTCCTCAGGTTGTAAAAGAGCCCCATTTGCCCACCCCTGCCCTAGACCAGTGTTTCCCAAACTTGGCTATTTTAAGATGCATTAACTTCAACTCCCAGAATTCCCCAGCCAGTATGCCTGGTTGAGGAATAGTATGCCTGGTTGAGGAATTCTGGGAGTTGAAGTCCATACATCTTCAAAGGGTCAAGTTTGGGAAACACTGCCTTGGACCAACAATGGCAAACCTTTTGGGCTCAACATGTCAAAATTTGGGAAATTCTTAACTTGATGCTGCTGATGTGTCAGGAAAGAATTCTCTATTTCCCACTGCCACCCCCATCTAGGCCATCCTGAAAAGTGGCACTTGGCAACAGCTCCAAGGCTGGGCCTAAAGTAGCAGCCCAGTCCTCTACTTCAATTCTAGCCCCCACTGCTACCACTCAAAATGGCCGCCCCACACCATTCCGCAAGGCACACAATGTTGCTCCAGATTGCATGAGGCTTTCATTCTTGAATGTCTGTGGAGATTCTCAGTCATCCAGGTCATGGTATCCTGTTTCCTCCAAAATAAGACATCCCCTGATAATAAGCCCAATCAGGCTTTTGAGCGCATGGCAATAAGGCCAAGCGCTTATTTCAGGTTTCAACAAAAATATAAGACAGGGTCTTATTTTTGAGGAAACACGGTAGTCGCAAAGGTGCTTTTTCAAAAGGCCACTGGACTTTCTTATTCCTTGAACACGTTTCACTTCTCATCCAAGAAGCTTTTTCAGTTCTGACTGAATGGTAAGAGAACTGAAGAAGCTTTTTGGATGAGAAGCGAAACATCTTCAAGGAAAAAAGAAAATCTAGTTGCCTTTTGAAAAAGCGCCTTTGGGATGTCATTCTTGAAGCAACTTCAGAGAATGCTCTTTTGTGGCCTCTGCAGCCTCCAAAAACCACAGGGAAGCACGGCCCTCTCATGCAACTTCCAGTAGGTCCAAAAACTATACAAGAGCACACCTCATTCTCACATGGCCCCAAAATCGCAAGAGTGTGGAGCATGCTTTCAAGAATAGCTGTCGGGTATTGGTAAACACTTTGTGGCATGTCACTTTTGACATGTTTATCATAGGTTCACCATCACTGCAATATTTTTTATTTATTTTTATTTTTATTTGATTTATATGCCACCCTTCTCCGGAGACTCAGGGCGGCTTACAATGTATTAAGCAATAGCCTTCATACTTTTGTATATTTTATACAAAGTCAGCTTATTGCCCTCACAATCCGGGTCCTCATTTTACCTACCTTAGAAAGGATGGAAGGCTGAGTCAACCTTGAGCCTGGTGAGATTTGAACTTGCGGTAATTGCAGGCAGCTGATGTTAATAACAGTGCTTTAGTCTGCTGCGCCACCAGACCATCCAATATTAATACTTCTTATATATCTATCTACGGAATCCAATTGGATGGCAAACAAAGCAAAACTGAGGTTGAATTCTTTGTGGTTTAGGGTATTGTGAGAAGTAGCTCAACATGATAAACCCTAGTTTATGTATCTAGGCATGAACATGGGGATTGATCAGAGGAGTTGCATACAACTAATTTAACTTAATTGGATTATATATTTTTGCCCTGGTCCCACTCCAGCACTTCCCCCTTTCTGTGGCTCAGTCCTTGGATTGTACTCAGTGGGCAAAATGGAGTCATGCCATTTATCTTTGGATTAAAGCAGTAGACGTTACAAATAGGCAATGCAT